CTCTCGATTCGCTCGAAGGGAGCCTTGCCTAAACAATCGGCCACATCAACGCATTTGGCCAGATCCTCGGGAAGAACAACATCGGGCCCCAGGACTTCATCATGGAAGGGGGGCCTGCAGCCAGGCGTTTCTCTTTGCGCATTGGTGGGGGCAGAGGGTTTGCAGAAAGAAAGGTGTTACATATCCCTGGGAGCTTCAGATCGGCCGAAATGGTACGTGGGAGAGGTTTTAAACAACCGATGTGGATGGGCAGGTTCAGGAAATATTCTTGGCCAGCGATAGGAATCCACAGACGGTTCGCAGGGAATTACATATCAGAAAGAGGCGAGCGATTCTTGCAGAAGCCTATCCCCACATCAAGACGTCCGGGGGCAAACCAGAATGATCACTCAGCCACATGTGGAAGCCGTCTGTTCGAGCTGAAGCTCCCCTTTCTTTTTTGCACGTGCCAACTCTTGAAGCCGCAGGTGTGGACATTCGTGTCATGCGCCCTCGTCTTGCCCCCGCCTTCGCCACCTCGGCAGAGATCGTCAAATTACATTCTCTTCGCCCGATGGCGGAAGAAGTACCAGGTCTGGAAGCTAACTCCTGCCAGATGGAACCCTCGAGCTTTGTTTCGTCATCTTCCCCCTGTTCGCGGCCGAAAGATTCGCGCCCTTCGCTCCCTTCATGGCAGCGTTCGCAATTTCGAGCTATCTCGGGAGCAGAAACGACATGCCGCCTCACACAGCGATCGCGCGAAAGCCTGCCCCAAGTCCTGCCTCGCGGTGGTGGCGGGGGATTTCAACTTTTTCCGACCAGCTGCCGATCGTGATGAGGGAAGGGGGCGGTACGTGGAGGAGAGGGGCGGCCAGGAGGGGCGAGGCGCAGCACGGCAACATCGAGAGCCAGAACAGCAACGCAGAGGGCCATATCATATACACAGAGGGCCAGAACAGCAACACAGAGGGCCAGCGCATAGACATAGATAGCCAGAGCAGCAACACAGATAGCCATCACATACATTACGTTAGAGCGTGCAGGAGGGGTCAGGACGGGGATTGGATGGCCGGCGACCACGCGCCCGCGGTGGTAACGGCCCCCGGCAGCATCCCGCGAGGTTCTCGGGGGAGTTTTGAGAGAATTCCCAGGAATGTGTATGGGCGCCCGAAGTGTGCGGAGTTTTTGAACGAGGTTTCAGAGTTTCCTGGCGTCGAGGAGCTTCCCCCGCCTCTCGCCGTGGACTTCGGCGCGAAAATGATGAGGGAAGCTGTGGGGGCCGCGCGTGGCGCTTTGCTGGGGAGCTCGCCTGATAGTTTCTTCTCGAAGCGCATGAGTACGAAGTCAGTGACCCGTGCGATGCGGAGGCAAGATTTGGTTTCAGCAGAGAAGATCGGGTCGAACAGTAAATTTGGAAGGGGCCGTCCCCTGATCGACGCCCTCGAGAGGAGCGCGCGGCTCGCTGGCCCGATAGAGTTTGCCGCGACCGCGGATGCGATCCAACCGGCGATGAGCCAACGAGGAGAAGCCCGATTAAGGCGAGCAGTGAATGACGCGACGAACGACGCGACCCGAGCGAAACTTCGACGACGCATGAAAGTATGCGACGTGGCAAGCTCTGGTCACCTTTCGACAAGAGGACGTCGCTGAAAGGGATCCGCGTCGACGGCGGGGCCGTCGCGAGGGATCCCGCCGAGGCCCTGCAGCTGCCGGGCCAGCGCCGGGCGCGGGGCCGTCGCATGGGGGCCCCGCCGAGGTCCCGCAGCTGCTCGGCCAGCGCTGGGGCGCGGTCTTCGGCGCGAGAAAAACGCGCATGCGCGGGGCATCTCCGTATATCTTGATGAGTATGTCCCCCGCGCTTGTCTGCAGGATCTTCCTCCGCCCGCCCTCCTCGGCTTAGCGAAGCACGTGGGGCGTCTTCGCGATGGCGCCCCAGGGCCCGATGGCTTTGTGCATTCGGCGTGGGTCAACAGTCCGATGGGTCTCAAGCTCCTCGACGAGGCTCTGTGGTGGGCTTTCCAGGGGGGTGCTTTGTTCAGGGGCTTCAGCGGCATGGGGGGGGGGGGGGGGGGGCGTTCCTGGTCAAAGGTAGTTCGGAGCGTCGTCCAGACGAGGTTCTCAGAGGAGCTTCAGGGACTTGGTGCCTTGGGCTGAAGCAAACAAGTACTGCGCTATTGGCGGGGCTTGTCGCGCCCCGCCTGAGCAAGCCGCTGAGCGCCTTCCTTGACTGTGAGCAGCGCGGGTTCGTTCAAGGAAGGTGCGTCGGGGTCAACATGCCGGGCTTGGATGCTAGGGTAAGGATGGCAAGCGTGCAGCCCGCAGCCGCTTTGGCCCTGCCAGTGCAGTGCACCTTCGACTACGGGCAGGCCTTGCCATCGGTGGCTCGCCCGTGGATCTTCCAAGTTTGGAGCGATCATCATTGCCCGGGCCTGTGGAGGCAATTCAGAGATATTTTCTCTGGAGTGGCAAGTTACGGCGTTCGCGGACGGGGATCAAAATCTGCGTTCGCGGTGCCGCGCGGTATACTGCAGGGGTGCTCTGGAAGCGGAGCGTTTTGCGCAGTGTGCAGCCGCCCGTTCATGAGCGAGTTTCGCGAAGTACTTCAAGCCAGAGGTCCAGAGCGTTTAATTGCCCGCAGTTCGCGCGTGCGCGGGCGACGTAGGTGCAGCGGTTACGGCGCTCAGGCAGCTGGTGGCGTTGCAGCAGGTGTTCGACAACAGTGGGCGGCTAGCTGCTCTCCAACTGAAAGCCTGCGAGCGCTTCTTAGTGCCCCTCGCGGGCCCCTTCTCTGAAATTGTAGAACAGCGGTGCAGGGTGTGGCGTGAGAATCGCACCCCCGAGCGGCGTGATTTTCGCATCGTGGGTCTGGTTACTTACCGTGGAGTTTTCCTGGGGCCCGAGGCCCCCTGAGGCCTGGGAGGCCCCCTGGAAAAGAGGGCCACTTGTGCGGCCCAGATTGCCGGGGCCAGCTCTCCGACGGCCGTAGCTGAATATCTGTATTATACAAGAGCCATGCCAACCCTCTCTTATGTTGTGCAGTTTTCGGCGCGGTTTTTCACGATTCCATCCATCCCCTCTTTCCCTCGCCTGGAGCATGCCTCCCTCGCCTCGCTGTTCTCGCTCCCATCGCTGTGTCTGTCCAGATCGTCTTCATGATCTCTGAGAAATTGGGAAGGCCCGAAGCTAAGCAGTATTGAATCTCTCTGTGCTGCCACGCTGGTGAGATCAGCGACCAGCACGTTTGCTGAATGGCGGGCGATCTTTCAGATGCTGGAGAGTGAAGCTGAGAGGTTGCCTCTCTCTCTCTCTCTCCCTCCCAGAAATTGCCAGCGGAAGACGGTGCCCAACCTTTGGAAGTCAGCAGCCTTCGGCCAGGATCTACGGGGCGCTGCCGGTGGCTTTACCAACTCACCACCATAAGGAAGCAGGAGCGCAGGCTCTGAAGGAGGCTGAGCGGATCCTGGCTGAGCGTGGGCAGAGCACCAATCCCCCGAAGCGTTTGATGCTCCAGGGAACGATTCTAAGAGCCTTTGAGACCGAAGTATTGCCTGCCTTTTCCCTAGGGATTGGTGCGACAGGTGGTGTAGGTTTTTTTTGGGAACATTCCGTTTATTTGAGGAACTATTGGCTAGCAGTGAAGAAAGTCATGCTGGATCTCCGGCCCGCGTGGCGGCACGCCGTTTGAAGATCGCTGGGCGGTGCGTGTACAACTTCGTTTCCTGCTTGTCCCTTCCGTCGCCTTGGTGTCCTCTCCCCCTCCGCGTCCTCTCAGCTCCTTCCGTGTGCTGTTTATATGTTGTTCATCCGTCTTGCTCATCTCTCCATCAAGCGCTGAAGCAGAGCTGGCGATTCCAGCAGTTCAAGCACAATTTGATCGTAGGCCAGCCGCGGCGCGCCTCGGGGACGTGCCAGGAGGAGGAGGAGGAGGAGGAGGAGGAAGAGGAGGAGGAGGACGAGGAGGAAGAAAAGGAAAGAAACGATGATGATGATGATGATGATGATGATGATGATGATGATGATGATGATGATGATGATGATGATGATGATGATGATGATGATGATGATGATGATGATGATGATGATGATGATGATGATGATGATGAAGATGATGATGATGATGATGATGATGATGATGATGATGATGATGATGATGCTGATGCTGATGCTGATGTGATGCTGTGATGATGATGATGATGATGATGATGATGATGATGATGATGCTGATACTGCTGCTGCTGCTGATGATGATGATGCTGCTGATGATGATGATGATGATGATGATGAGGAGGAGGAGGAGGAGGAGGAGGAGGAGGAGGAGGAGGAGGAGGGAGGAGGAGGAGGAGGAGGAGGACGAATAGGAGGAGGAGGAGGAGGAGGAGGAGGCGGAGGAAGAGGTGATCCGTATCCATTTTGGCTCAGGCCTTTCCATAGCCCCCCCTGCTCTTGGACCCTGCCCCTCGGCGTACCTCGGTGATCCCAACCCGTCGTCAGTCGGGGCACCGCAGCGGGCGTGAGGGGCGGGGGGTTGCCCGATAGCGTGGCGGCCCTGTCCTTTCCGCGCCGAGGAGATTCGTTCCCGCGGCCTTTCGGCGGCGCGGCGGGCGGCCCGTCGCCGACGCCAGCGGGCCTGCGAAGCTGTCCTCCGTGCTATTCTCGCCCCTGATGGCGACGGAGCATGTGGCCCAGGATCCTGGCGTGACCGCGAGGCGGCGTCGCGCCCTGTGCTGCAGCTCCGGGCAGCAGGGCGCCGCGTCCCCGGGCGCTTGCGGCGGCGCCGCAATGCGGCCTGGCACGCGGTGGAGGTGCCACCTGGAGGATTTGCCCGGGCCATCGATTCGGGCATCGCGATCGTGGTTGCGGCCCGAGACTCGACGACGTCGGCGCTCTGGCGGTGGCGCTGTGCACCCCGACGCCCTTGGCGCCTGTTCAGCGGGGCTCGCCCGCAAAGGTGCTGAGGAGGGAGGCGCCGTCTTGGCCCGGCGGCTGGTCCTCGCCGAGTGTGTCCGAAGCCATGCTGGAGGATGGAGGATAAGAACGCTGCTGAGGGCAAGCAGGCCCGTCTCCCCGCGGTCTTCGAGGACGTGGCAGAAACAGCTGGGTTTCTGGACGGTGGTGCTGCGTGCGCTGAGGCGCAGCCGCCGCCAACACAGGTCGTCGAGCAGGAAGGGACGGTGGAGGTCGTCGACGAGCATTCGGACCGTGAGACCGACGTGTGTGTTCGACGTGAACACCGACGACATGGACACAAACTGGCCGCAAGAGCTTTGGGGCCATGGTACGGAGACGGTGGTTTCGGCTCCCTCGATGCGTGGCGCTCCTGCGGCGGCCGTCGAGGCGGAATTGGAGATCTCGCAGGAGTTTCCCAAGAGGGGCCAATTCAGTTCCTGCGCTGAGGGGCGCGATCTGGACTGGGGTGAGGTTAGTTCCTTCGACGACGAGGACGACTACCGCTTGCCACCGATGTGCTCCACGTGTGCTGACATAGTCCCGTGTCGAATTAAAATGTTCCTTTGTAGCGACTCCTACTGTGAAGACATGTTCTGCGAGAGTGGTAGTCGACTATAGCCGCGACAGCTAGATTTTTCATGTGCCCGTGGGGGTGGTCGGTTGTCGCACTGTCCCTTCTTCTTACTGAAATATTCACCTTCGCTCTCAGTGCGACGGCATCCCAGAGCAATGGATATTTTCGCAATGGAAGGCTTCTGCTTTTATGAGACTGAGTGTCTGGTATCGTTTGCGAACGAGGTGGGCTTTCCTGGAGCAGGCTGGGCTCGGTGTTCGTTTTCGGGCTGTCCTTAGAGTCGCTCATCTGAGGGGGTGCCGCGATGTGGGGAGCGTCTTGAAATTAGGTCAGAGGAGGAGGAGGAGGAGGAGGAGGAGGAGGAGGAAGAGGAGGAGACGCGCGGCGTTGCGAATCCATAGCGAGGACGCAACGCGCAGGAGGGTCAGGAACAAGAACCAGTCGGGAAGGAGGGGAGCGTCGGGAAGCCCGAAGAGCGAAAACGCCCAAATCATTTGCGACAGCCGCAGGGCATCGATGATCTTTGCCTCCTGGGGCCCTCCTGGGAGTGCAGTCGGGAGGCGAGGTATCTACACTGGAAGCGCGTGCCAAGAAACACCCTGGTTGCCTCCAATGTGCCCTGGGTTTCTTGGGTTTCGATGGTTCTGCTATTGAAAGCGTGGCGTTCCCACGCAAAAAATCGATGGATGTCATGGGGTCTCAGGGTTGGGTTTCTTGCGGAAGGTTTCGTGTGGTCGAGCCCCCACGGTAAGCCCCCCTCCAAAAGTCTGTGAACTCCAATCGCTGCGTTTTTGAGGCCTGCCGCCGGCGGGTCGGATGAGGGCCCCCCCCCTCCCCGGCAGGCGTCGGGCAGCCCACGGGCCGCGGAGGAAGTGGCCTTCCTCGGAGGCGCCGCCGCGATCGTCGCTGCCCTACAGCGCCACAAGGCGGCCGCCCCCTCAGCCCTTCACGCCTCGAGCAGGGTCGGGGATCGGGGGAGCCAGCCTCCTGCGAGCGAGGCGCGGGGTCCGAGGATCGAGCCTCGGGTCTCGAGAGCCGAACAGCTCCCTGCGGAGGAGCACCGCAGGTCGAGGGAGGCTCGAGGCTCGAGCCTCGAGGGCGAAGCGCGAGGAAGCCGGCCCGCCTGACGCCTGGGGCCTCCCCCCGTCCAGAGGAGAGGCGACCCCACCCCCCCCTCGGCCGACACCAAGGCGCAGGCCCAGGCCCAGCCCCCTCCTTCGACGAGCGCGTTCCACTACTGGCAAGGTAACCGCTCGGAAATGGCCGGGATCCCCCCGCGGGGGATCTGCGATAAGTTAGATCAAAGCAGGCAGGTGTTTTTTCGGACGTTTGCGAGCAGGCACTTTGCGAGTAGTGGAACGCGCTCGGCGACTCCTCCTCCTCCTCCTCCTCCTCCTCCTCCTCCTCCTCCTCCTCCTCCTCCTCCCTCTCCTCCTGGCCGTGTTGTGGCGAGAGGCCAGGCGCGGCCCAGGGGCATGGCACTGGCCGAAAGCGTGCGGAAGATCATCGGACGTCGATCCTTCGAGCAGGGGATCGACAACAGAATTGATCGACAGTGGGAACCCATGCTTTCGGGCCTGTCCTTCCACAGGAGGAATGCTCAAAGACAGTATCAAACATCATTCGGGGACGGTTTTAGTTTATGTCTGACTTTGTTACTTTGTTGGGGCATTTCTGGAATAACTTTAATTGTTCTTCAAACAACCGCCTGTGAGAGGACATGCCCGACCCAAATTCATGCCGAGCAACACCCTGCTTGCCTCCACGGGGGCCTTGGGTTTCTTGGGCCTCGATGGTTCTGCTATGGAAAGCCTGGCGTTCCCCGCGCTACAAATCGTTGGGCGTCCTGGGGTTTCAGGGTTGGGTTTCTTTTGTGGAAGGCTTCTTGTGGATAGGCCTCCACTGTACCCCAAGTGATTCATTGGCTTACGCCGCACCGCCGACCCCTTGGGTCGGCAGCAAGAGTCAAAGATGGAGTTCGCGGAACGCGCGCGATCGCTGGGCAATCTTGGGGTTTCGGCCTGTCTTACGTAGCGTGTGGGGTTCACGGGGGGATCTTGTAGGGGGTTGTTTTGAAGTTTTCATGGTTTTATATTGGTTTCTTGTGGCCTTCACGGGGCCTGTCCCAGGCTTCCTGTTCCACCCCCTGGATAGGCTCGGGGATCGTTGAGACCCACCCGGGGGTGCGTCCGACCAGAAGTTCGAGAGTGGACCCAGCTGTGTCGACGAGGAGCTTCCTGAAGGTCCAGAGAGGGCGGAGACCGCCCAACACCGAAAACGGTTCCCAGAGGCTGAATTCGAGGAGACGCCTCGGCTGGTCGACCACGAAAATCTGTGAGACATCGGCGGCGACGACGAAATCTTATTTTTTTTTGTTCCCTCTTCTTCCTCCTCTTCCTCCTCCTCGTCCTTGTCCTCTTCTTCCTCTTGATTGAGGTAGATGCCCGCGGCAGTTCCGGCCGCCTTTCCACAGAAATTTCTCTTCGACGAGTTTTTGTTTTTGATAGTTTTCGGTCTCCTGTGGCCGTTGCTGTGCTGGGCCCCAGGACTTTGAAATCCGGACGGGCCTGGGGCGGGAAATTGCATCGGCGGACCCGGGGAGAGGCTCGGGGAACGAACTTGTGCGAAGTTGCCCGTCGGACTCGGGAGTTTAGTTGTGGTTAGGGGGGGTCAGGGCTCCTCCCCTGTCGCCGCGGCTGGATGCATTTGGGACAACGATTGTGACTGGATTCCGGGAAGGGTCCGGGGGGCCCATGGTGAAAGATACTTGCGTGGGGAAAAGAGAAGTTTTTTGTTGCAGAGTCTTAGTCTTTTCAGTTTGTTCGCGGTTTTCGTCATGGAAGGACCGCCTCCGGTTCCCGGGGTCATCCGCGGGCAATGTGGATGCCCGTCAGGGCCTCTTGGGTGCAGTAAGCCCCCTTTCATGTATTCTCGGGGCGAAGTGCTCGAATGCTCCAAGCGGGTTTCCCTTCTTACCCTCTTGAGGCCGTCCCGGGGCTCTCCCTGGTGGTTCCGGGGGCCTTGTTGGGGCCCGTTTGTGCCGTCTGGGAGCCTTCTTGGGGGCATGTGGGGGCATGTGGGGGCTTTTGGGTTGATTTTGGATGCTTTTTGGGCCGCCGTGGGATTCATGAAGGCTCGAAGAGCGAATGTGATAAGCTCAGATTTTTCCCTTCGGCAAGGGGCCGAGGTTTGGCTCTGCCGGGCTTCTCGGGACGAGCCCTGGTGGCGCGTTGTGGCGCGTTGGGGCGTCCAGGGGGCCCCAGGGGTGAGCTGGAGGCAGTGGCGGGCGTCTGGGAGCGATCTCTTCACGAGTCGTAGCTCGCGCTCTGCAGCCGTCGGGGGAGCCTCGTGGGATCCATTTTTGGGTCTTTCTGGGGGCCGTCCTGGGTCGGTTGGATGGCTTCGGGGCCTCCTGACGTCCATTTGGGCTGTCTTGGAGTCCTTTTGGGGGTCTTTTTGGGTCGTATCGGGTCGATCTGCAAGGCTTCTTGGGCTTTGGTGGGCTTCGTGAAAGCCGAAGAGGCGAACGTGCTGGAAATTTATGTTGTCCATAGAAAATGAAACGCTTTTTGCTTCTGGAAAGCCTCTTGGGACGTCTCCGGGTAGTTTATTGGGGCGTTTTGGGGGCCTGTAAGACCGCCCGGAAGCAATGTGGAGCGTCTTGGAGCGATCTCTCGACGACTCGTAGCCTTCGTGGGCCGTCCAGGAGGCCTTCAGGGACCCTCTTAGCCCATTTGGGGCCCTCTTGAGGCCATCCTGCAGCTCTCCTGGGCCGTTGCGGTTGTTTCTTGGGGGCCTCTTGGGTTATTTGGGGTCGCTCTTGGATGCTTCTTGGGCCGTGGAAGGCCTCGTGGAAGCCCAGGAGGCGAATGTTCTGATGATGTATGTTTTCCCTAGGGATTTGACGATTTTTGCTTGCGGAGGCCTTCGAGGAGCGCCTCGTAGCAGCTTTGTCAAAGGTCTCGGGTGCCTGGGGGTAATCGTCTGCAGGCACGCTGGGGCGGTTTGGACCGAAGCGCTCCTCTCGTGGGCCGTCCAGAAGGCCTTTGGGGACACTCGTGGCCCGTTGTGGGGCTCTCGTGGGACCGTCCTGCGACTGTCCTGGGCCATCGCTATGGTTTGTGAGGCCTTCATGGTGCGCCCGGAAGCCGTTGTGAAGCCTTTTTGAGAGCCTATTGGGGTGTCGGGGGTCGAACTTGGAGGTTCACTGGGCAGTTGTAGGCCTCGTGGAAGCCCAAGAGGCGAATGTACTGAATATCTGTTTTCCTTGGGGAATGGAGGCCCTCTTGGAGCGCCTCGTGGGCACGTTTTCAAACGTCTTGGGGGGCAATCTTGGGCGGTTGGGACCGAATCGTCCCCCGCGTGGGACGTTTGGGCAGCCTTCGGGGACCCCGTTTACCCGTTTTGGAACCCTCTTGGGACCGTCTTGCGGTTCTCCCGGGCCGTTGCTATGGTTTCCGGAGCCTTCGCGGATCGCCTGGAAGCCGTCGTGGAGCCTTTTTGGGAGCCTCTCGGGCTGCGGAGGGTCGATCTTGAAGGCTTCTTGGGCCGTTGTGGGCCGCGTGGAAGTCCAAAAGGCGAATGTGCTGAAAATGCATGTTTCCCTGAGGGAATGGGACGGTTTTTGCTTCTGGAGGGCCTCCGTGGGGCGCCTTGTAGTACCTTTTCAAGAGTCTTAGAGACTGATTGGGCCGTCAGGAGGCAGTCTTCTGCGTTTTGGAACGGTCTTTCGTCGACTCGTAGCTCTCTTGGACCGTTCCGGGACCCTTTGGAACCTTTTGGCCCGTTTTGGGGCCTCTTGAGGCTCCAAGTACGCGGCCAGCACCTTTGCCCCTCCCCCCCCTCCGAACCGGCCTCCAGGGGAGGGGTTTG